GAGGGGCAGAGAGAGAGGGAGACACAGAATCCGAAGCAGGCTCCAGGCTCTGAGCTGTCAGCGCAGAGCCCGACGCGGGGCTCGAACCCACGAACCGCGAGATCATGACCTGAGCTGAAATCAAGAGTCGGATGCTTAACCAACTGAGCCCCCCAGGTGCCCCAGTATCTTAGATTTTAACAGGTAGCACAAGACAAGAGGTTCAAAGTCATCCTGCCTTAAAATTCAGGGAAATTTCCTCCAAAAGGCAATTCTAGCTTCTTTATCATGAATTGAAAACCACGGACTTCCTTAATAAATGCCACTGGGGACATTAATGATCGTGAACAGCAGGCAATGAATAGCAGGGCCACTGCGGAACCCACAGAACATCCACATCATCGTCTAAGTGTCCACTCCGTATAATGAAGCTTTTCCAAAAACCAGCTCATCAGGTCAACCACAGACTCACCGAGTTAACAAAAATGAAGACCTTAGAGATGGAGTGTGCTCATTTCTGTTACTTGAGGTTGAGACTTGGAAAAGATCAAACATGCTGCAGAAACCTACCAGGCAGGTGCAGGAATCCTGGACTTGCGGGTGAGATGAGGGGTCCACTCGCCAGCATGAAGAGTTCTTCCTAACAAACGAAGGAGAGACTCGGTGATCTTTCCCATTACAGAGCTATTTTGTTTCCCTAAAAGAGAGTTCCATCAGCCTCCAGCTGGTCCCAAGATAATCTCTCCTGCTGCAGAAGGCAGGGCTCTATTTCATTTGTTTTCCTTTGAGATGCTAATCTGAGGACAATGTTTTATCACAGTGACAGTATTTCCATTCTATTAAATGACACTCACTTGGCTGGCTGTATAATCCACTACCACACGGCTTCCGGGACGTTCACGGTGGGTGGGGGCAGCACGCAGGCTTGTCTGGATCCGCAGGCACCTGGTCTCAAAACACCAGGTACTTCGGGGCGTCTGGGTGGCTCAGTCGGTTAAGCATCCGACTTTGGCTCAGGTCACGATCTCGTGGTGCACGAGTTCGAGCCCCATGTGGGGCTCTGTGCTGACAGCTCAGAGCCTAGAGCCTGCTTCAGATTCTGTGTCTCCCTCTCTCTCTGTCCCTCCCCCACTTGCACTCTGTCTCTCTCTCTCTCTCTCAAAAATAAATAAACATTAAAAAATTTAAAAAAAAAGAAAAACCGAGGTAGTTTGAGCACCAAGGCAGCAATTAATAAGCACAAGATGCTGCTAATTCCTCTCGGTGACGTAACACAGCAATTTAATCGTCCTTTAAAGAAAACCAATGATAACACTTCCACTATAAAGAAACACTGCACAACAGAAACCGACGAAAAGCACCTGCCTAAGGGTTCCCAAACCTTTTATTCCCAAGCTCCCCCAGAGCTTCTTCTCTGGTAGGACCCATCCTTGGAATTTCTTTTTTTTCTTTCTCGCTAGTGCTTGTACATCAAAAGTCGCTTTAGTAATAAGTACAGTAAAACCTTGGTTTGCGAGCGTAATTCGTTCCAGACACATGCTTGTCACCCAAAGCACTCATATATCAAAGGGAATCTCAAGAACCATTGACTCTGCCGTGTTCATGCGACGCCTAGCATCACATACAACTCGTGTTGCGAGACATCGCTCGTTTATCAAGTTAAAATTGATTAGGAATGTTTGCTCGTCTTGCGGAACACTCGCAGAACACGTTCCTCGCGATCCAAGGTTTTACTGTATTCCTATCCACTCAGAATTTGGTTAGGAAGCCGGGAAACGCACATTTCCTAAACGACAGGCACCCTGCCCGACATGTTTGCCAAGACTTCTCGCTGGCCCCACTTTTCAGAAGAGTCCATGGAGGCTCCGAGAGGTCGGGTAGCTCGTCCAAGATCATGCGGAGTAAGACAAGTGTCTCACGCCCTGAGCCCATGCTCACGGTCTGGGCTGCTCTGCTCCAACGTGAAAACACCAAGGTGCCAAATGTCCAGTCCCATGACAAGAAACTCCTGCACTCACTGCTTGCTGACCTAAGTCCCTCGGTCTGTACCAGAGCGAACTCACTTTCCTTGAGATCTGCAGACCACTGGCCCTGAGCGCCAAGGGCCAGACTCTCCCAGAAGACAAAGCCTAACCACATTTGAGAACAGTGCAGGCAGATACCAGCGAGTCTGTCTGGGAGCATGTCGGAAACGGCTGACCGCCCGGGCACCTGCTTGGCCTGCACCCGGACCCCCCTCCTCCCTTTTCCCATGCCTTCCCCTCTGAAAGCCTCCAGCTTGGCCTGGACAGGGAAGACGGCCGTTGGGACATGAGTCCACCAACCCCCACGTGGCTGGCTCCCAGGATAAAGCGAACTTTCCTTTCCCACCAGCACCGGTCTCTCAATACTGGCTTTCCAGCAGCGAGCAAGGGAACCTGAGTTCAGAGCTGGAGCTCTGTCTGGTATCAGGGCCACCCTGTCATCTGAGCTGCCCGCTGCTCTTTCTAGAGAACCGGGAGCCACTGATGCAAAAAGAGCAGACGGTAATTGCCCCCAACACACAGCTAATACACGGTAGAGCTGAGATATGAGCTCAGGCAGCCGGTCCCTGAATCTGGGTTCCCCGCCCCTTTACCTCCATGGCTGATCTGCACACTCTCTTTGCTTTTAATGCGCGACCTCCACATCCGTCTTGACAGTCCCCTCTGAGGGAATGTGTCACCAGGCATTCCTAGTTGTGAGGACCTAACATCAGGAGCGCCAGGAACCTCAGACCACCAGGATGGTTCCTCATGTTGTAGCAATATAATCATGGAAATAACCTTACACCTCTCCCCACCTGGCTTTTAAAGTTCAATGGGAATATAAAATTTGCTGACTTCTGCTTTTGTTCCGTGTAAACTATTAATGAGAGTGGGAGGGAAAAGGGACCATTTTATCTCAGAGACATAGGGAAAGTGTCACCAGATTACAGCCTTTGTGACATGAAACTAAATATTTAAATCTACCGGTCAGCTCCTAAAAATTGGCAACTTTAGCACATTTTAAAATTTAAATTACACATCATCTACTATTATGAGAAAGACTTACATTTCGAGTCGGGTTTATACCATTATAGATTTTTCTGGA